CCCCCCCCCGCGCCCCCCCCCCTTCTCCCCCCCCCCGCCATTTCCCGGCGTTTGCCGGTAAGCAGGCGGGAACGCCGGGGTAGCTACTGCCCTCCCGGTTGTGCCTTGCCCTGCCTGAGGTCACTTTTCCGTGTAGATCCCATGTTTCAGGTTATTTGTGGCCCTGGGTGCCAGGATCTGCCGGGCCAGCAGCTCGCTGGGGCCGGGCACCGCCGCGGCATCGCCTCCAGAGCACCGTTGGGAGCCCAAAATCTCTCCCGCGCTGCGAGAGACACCGTGCCTCAGTTTCCCAGCAGAAAAATCAGAACGGAAGGAGAGCCCCTTCTTAAATACTCAGTGGCTGCTCAAACTAATGCAATTAAGGAGGGGTTGCGAGGGCTGATACGATTGCACAGGGCTCTGGGAATTTTAGGTTTTACAGAACGCGGCACGAAGGCGGCAGCTGTAACTTGCGTGTTGCATGCGGCCTCTCTAATGCAGCCCTGCTAGCCCAGAGCCGGGAAGATTAAATCCGTGCGAGGTGGGTGAGCATGGGGGACGCGGCACTCGGGGCTCTGCCTGGCCGCAGACGGGGCTGGGGCTACGTGGGGTGTCCCCGTCCCTCCCTGTGTCCCCAGCCTGCCCTAATGACAAGCCAGATGGCTTTTGCTAGTGGCAAATAGCTAAATTAACCTGCAAAGACAGTCCCTGGGGTTTTATTGCTTTAAACAGTCCCAACGGACACCCAAAAGGAGCAGCGAGGCTAGGTGGGAGCCCAGCTCCAGAAAGCGCCCAGCCCCAAAAAGCTCTCCGGTTTCTAAGGGCAGAGGGTTTATTTGCCCCGGCAGCCACGCGGCTGGCAGGTAAACCACAGCTCACCACATCTGGGACCCCAAGTGACGGAAAAGCCAGCCCGTCACCCGGATATCTGTTCCAACCGCTAATGGCCATTCACCGATTATAAAAACAGAGAAAGAAAAGGCCTTAAATTAATATGAGAGAGACGTCTGTGCTCTCCCAGACACGCA